GTATACTCAACAGACCTATCCCCCTATAATTTTTGCACTCTCTTTTGTCCCCTTTGCCTTTATACAAAGGAACTATGCATGCTCTCTGCCAATCCCTAGGTACCTTACCCTCTTCCATACATTTATTAAATAATAGCACCAACCACTCCAAAACTATATCCCCACCTGCTTTTAACATTTCTATCTTTATCCCATCAATCCCAGCTGCCTCACCCCCTTTCATTTTACCTACTGCCTCACAAACTTCCTCCAAACTCACAAATGGCTCTTCCTCACTCCTACAAGATGTTATTCCTCCTTGCCCTATACACGAAATCACAGCTTCCCTATCTTCATCAACATTTAACAATTCCTCAAAATATTCCCTCCATCTTCCCAATACCTCTAACTCTCCATTTAATAACTCTCCTCTCCTATTTTTAACTGACAAATCCATTTGTTCTCTAGGCTTCCTTAACTTGTTAATCTCACTCCAAAACTTTTTCTTATTTTCAACAAAATTTGCTATCTCACCCACTCTCTCATTTGCTTTCTTTTTACATTGCTTCACCACTCTCTTAACCTCTCTCTTTTTCTCCATATACTCTTCCCTCCTTGCATCACTTCTCCTTTCTAAAAACTTCTCATATGCTAACCTTTTCTCCCTTACTATCTTTATATCATCATTCCACCAATCGCTCCTCTTCCCTCCCGCACCAACTTTCCTGTAACCACAAACTTCTGCTGAACACACTAACACTACATTTTTAAACCTACCCCATACCTCTTCGACCCCATTGCCTATGCTCTCATTAACCCATCTATCATCCAACAGCTGTTTATATCTTACCCTAACTGCCTCCTCTTTTAGTTTATAAACCTTCACCTCTCTCTTCCCTGATGCTTCTATTCTCCTTGTATCCCATCTTCCTTTCACTCTCAGTATAGCTACAACTAAAAAGTGATCTGATATATCTGTGGCCCCTCTATAAACATGTACATCCTGAAGTCTACTCAACAGTCTTATCTACCAATACATAATCCAACAAACTACGTACTGTCATTTCGCCCTACATCATATCTTGTATACTTATTTATCCTCTTTTTCTTAAAATATGTATTACCTATAACTAAACCCCTTTCTATAAGAAGTTCAATCAAAGGGCTCCCATTATCATTTACACCTGGCACCCCAAACTTACCTACTACACCCTCTCTAAAAGTTTCTCCTACTTTAGCATTCAGGTCCCCTACAACCATAATACAAGACACAAATCACTCTCTGTTACGAACATAGTCAGTTGGTCCCTGGGTTATAGTGCTTTTTGTAACAAAATAACAAACTTAGTACGTCTAGGGGTCTTCACTCGTAGAGGAAAAGGAATTTTCTTAGTTTCTATTTAATTTATTAATAATCATAATAATCACTTAAATCCACCTTTTCATATTTTGCACTATGAGTAGAATACTTTTACCATTTCTCATTAAAACATCACAGTACTAGGTCAAGTATTTACAAATGGCTCTGAGTGAGTCACGAAATATTAGTATGTATATATATATGCACAGGCGTTGCCTAAAAACTCGAACACATTAATAGATTTCTTATGATAGGGTTCACTTTAAAGTAAGTCCTCTTACACTACAGAGGCTTGCTCACTTGGCTTCACTTTCTCTAAGAGCTTCTCAACCGCCTCCTCCAACCAAAATAAGTATTAGCAGTAAGTTCCCGAAAATTCCGGGGATTTTCTAGGGAGGCGAATGGTGGTTTAGAGGTGGATACTTCCCTCGACCCTTCCTGGTCCAGAGGAAGGTATGAACTGAACAAAGTGAGGCTTTACCAGCCCACTTTGACTTGGTCGGAGCAGGGGTTAAGCAGCTCAAAACACCTACTGGTGCTTGGCCAGGTCACCAGCAGTTTGTACTAATTATATAACCTACCTATGTACAAAGCTAAGTAATATGACCAGATAATATTATGAAGTCGAGTAAATCTATTTTAGCTACTAATGGAATTACTCCTGAATATAATATTAAGTGAAATAGCAAAAAATAACATGTAAAAGTATACCACTGTGATAGTAACAAGTAGAAACAGTCTACTTAAACTGAACAACAGGGTGTAACACTCTCCCTGTGCAAAAATGCAATGCACGTAAAGGGCCCAAAGATCTGGAATTCATTATCAGAACACACTAAAAGACCCCTGCCTGCAAATCAATTTAAGGCCCAACTTGGAAATCTCATCACCCAAAATTAATCAGACAGGCTGTACCTAACCCTTAAACTGTCCAAACATAGATCTACGTTCACTACATTTCACTCCCATTCGTAGGTTTCTTGTATTTTCCAATATTTTATTTTTTCAAGAAACTTATGTGGCCTGTGAGACCAAAGTAAGGTGCAATGTACATACATACACTCGTTGTATGCAACACAATAACCACACAAACATTATTCTTATATTGTTTACAAAACTTGTTTACACAAACCAACAATACAAAAAATTCTTTATTACTAGTGTTCTATAATATGTATACAAATGTACAGTCACTGGACACTTTCCCAGAACTGCTGCACTTGTGGAATTTTTTGAAACACAGTGTTACACACAGAGGTGTTTTACACTTCTCGCACAAAACGAGTGACTCTGCGTTTCTGTGGGCATTTTGTGGTATGTGCACAGATGCAACACCTCTTATAAGTAGTTTTCTTGAAAGTAGGAGGCAGTTCTATGGGGTTGTGATCACCAGGCCTCAGACAAGAGGGTATGTGTTGATAATTTCACTGGCGCTGGTCTATTACAGGTGTTGTTCCTTGGTACTTGAATATTATTTGTCTGATGACTGACAAACAAAATTCACCATATTTTGGTTTGTTGTTGGTCTTCGACTTATACATGTTATAAGCATTCAGCATTGAAATGTCAAGAAGATGAAAAAGAGTTTTATGTACCACTTATAACTCTTGTGAACACAATCAGCAAACCCAATCTGCACGTTACATTTGTCCACTAAGTACATATTGAGGTTGTAGTCCATCACAGCTGCAGGTTTTAGAATGGGTTCATTGGTCTCTCTATTCTGCCTGCCACTGTCTGCAATTTTGTTTCGGTGAACTGAAGTCAACAATGTGACATCACATTTGTCATGCCACCAAAATGCCATTATGTCATTGGCAGCAAAGGCCTGCACCTCACATCTGTGAGTGCCTGTGTCGAACCTGGGCACATGCTTATGATTTCCACGCACTGTGCCATACACGTTTGTCGTGTTCACTCGCAAGAAATCACTGAGTAAGGGGCTTGTGTACGTTATCAGTATGTATGTCCCTTACCAAGATATGGTTCCATCATTGTTTTAACCACATCACCAGAGATACCTAATAACTTCCTGGTATCTTGCAATGTACTACTGCCAGTGTACACAATTATATCCAAAACTAGACCACTTGTGCAATCACACAGTACAAATAATTTTATACCATAGCATTTCCTTTTGCTTGGTCTATACTGCTTGAACAACAGTCTACCTTTGAACAAAATCACAGACTCATCAATAACAAGCTTCCTGAAGGGATTAAAATACATACAGCTCTTTTGTTTCAGGTACATAAACACATTCCTGATCTTATATAACCTGTCATTTCTGTCAGGCCCTATTTTGTCTGGTAAGTGTAGCATACGTAACAGTAACAGAAATCGATTCACTGGCATAATGTCACTGAAATCTGGGGTTGAAATCAGGCGTTCTGTAAACCAGTATGTGGTGACAGTGTGCTTATACACATGTGGCATAAGCATTATTGTGGCAAAGAATAGATACAACTCTGCCACAGTTGTGTCCTTCCACTTGTGTAGGCGTGATCTTGGTGAAACAACTGTGTTTGCCTTGGTGTATCCAAAGTACGTATGTGTTACTTTGCCTGACAAGAATGTCCAATTCAGTAATGTGGGTAGCAGCGTGGTGCCACATGACTCAAGCCACCGCCAACACCACCACCACCTGCTGCCCCACGCACATTATCCATCCCCATTGTAACAATGTCATTGTCACCTCCACTATCAGTTCCTGGTGTAGGGCCACAGGATGTACTCTGAGATTTACTACTTCCCCTTGGAATGGCATATGGCACACTATCAGAGTGCATACTGCGTCATACATACCACCACTTAACTGGAGAATATTCCCCCCTCACTGTTGCTACTCAAATTGCATTCAATAACTTAGAAATCACTATCACTGTCATTTTCACTGCTCACATCTGAGTCCCGTACACTGGAAAATAGTTTCCTCTTTTGCCCTGGTAGAGGTGAACATGAATGAGATGCCCCAGCACCAGAGGTGGAAGGTTGTGGGTCATCTGGGTTTTCATCACTAATTACGTTATCCTGGGCACTGCTTTCGGTCACACCCTCCTCAAAACCATGAAATTCACTTTCACAGGCACTTCCATCGGTGTTAGAACTATCACTTGGGAACAGAAGATTCCCAGTTCGCTGGGGAGTAAGGAGCTTCTTACCACTAGGCATGGTGAAACAAGGCATACTGAAATGGCCTTCCCACAATGCACCACTTGGTCCCCAATTTTTTCATTATGCGCACACCCATCACACAGACCCATTATCTCACATGTGGGCCTACCAGCTTTCTCCTGCTTGATTTGAAGCCGCTAGAATTTTCACATATTATTACATCAAAAACATTGGCTTGTAAGATGTATATATGTGACAAAAACAGTCAAAGGGCTAAGAACAATTAAGACTAGAAAAGGTATATAAAAGTACATGTATGTGTATACAGAATGAAAGTAGAAGTTTATGAGCTTTACCTGTCATCTTACATGTTCATGAGACCGAAAGAAATGATCAGCAATCCTACTAGAGTGCAAAAAATTAGTAGGTTTCCACTTCACACCTAATGGACAGACAATAGTACCTCCCTGGATGGTTGCTGTCTACCATCCTACTACTAAGTATGCTGACAAAGACACATACATGTATACATTAAAAACATACAAACCTGAGAATACACAGCGACAGGATCTTGAGAATTGTTGGTTCCCAAACCAGCCATGACAGATGCTGGCATGTAGCCAGCACCTGTTTGAGAATTGTGACGATTCAGCAACACCAACTCCACTTGTCCCATGCCTGTGTCCTCCTGCCAAAGGAAGAGCAATAGCCTATTGGTAGTGACAATAATGCATTTTATGTATTGCATGACTAGATATAGTAGAAGAATCAGTCTGTGATGGGATTCCCTTTAGATGGAAATTATTCATTAAGGGTGGAAACACACCTATGTTGCACCAAGTGAGGAGATTATTTTTTACAATAGCTATTTCCTATATAATTTTATATTTATGTTTTATCCTAGTTGCTTTTCACTTACGAGCCAGCATGTGCATACCTATCATTAAACTCCTACTATGGCTACCTGTAAAAATACAGTAGACCCCCAGTTTTCATAATTAATCGATTCCAGAAGGTCGGCCTAAATCCGAAATGGCCAAAAACTGAAGTAATATTTCCCATAAGAAATAATGTAAATCCAATTAATCAGTTTCAGACACCCAAAAATACTAACAAAAAATACATTTTACATACAGAAGACAACAATGAGAAATAAATATGACTAATTTTAATGGTAAATGAACATTACATATCTTTATTGAAGACTCTTGTGGGCGAGTAGTACGTATTTATTTGTAGTCCCAGCGGGACTACATCCCAGGCGTAAACCTACTGGCTACATACACTGCGGCCTACAGCCATATTATTACCATCGATATACTATGTTCACTGAGTTTAATCGTTTCTAACAACTACCTTTAGATGCCATCATAAACAAAGGGAGAAGTACAGTGGACCCCCAATTATCATAATTACTGTAATCTGTTCCAGAGAGTGTGACTAAAACTGAATTTGACAATATCCAAATTCATTTTCCCCATAAGAAATAATGTAAATCCAATTAATCCATTCCAGACACTCAAAAGTATTAAAAAACAAAAATAAGTTTCATACATCAAATACAGTGGAATCTATACTTGCGAGTGCATCCATGTGCGAGCTTTTCCAAATACGAGCAGTCGATGGGTCAATTTTTTGCTTCCATACGCGAGCTCTGTTTCTGGCGTCTTTTTAAGATTTGCCTAAAATGGGACACGGTATTGTCACTAAACATGTTGCAGATACGGCTTGTATCAGCTTTATCAGGTGATACTTTTCAACAAAAGTTTGCAACTCATTCCACCTTGCACACATGTCCTTAATCACTGAAGAAGGCACCTTCTCCCCTCTCTCTTCCTCCTCCTCTGAAGCAATTTCCTCAGCTGTGGTCTGTTGCTGTTCCAGATGAAGGTCTTGCAGCTCTTCAGTGGTTAGCTCTTCCCTGTGGTTCTCCACCAACTCTTCCACATCCTGGCCACTCACATCCAACCCCATGGACTTTCCCAAAGACACAATGCATTCCACAACAGGCATAAGGTCGACAGGGTCAGCCTCAAATCCTTCAAAATCCTTCTCTTGGACACATTCTAGCCACAATCTTCTCCAAGAAGAGTTCAAAGTCCTAGAAGTCACTTCCTGTCAAGCCTTAGCTATAAGGTTTATGCAATGGAATATACTGAAGTGATCCCTCCAGAACTCTCTTAGGGTCAATTCAGTGTCCAAGATCACTTCAAAGCACCTCTGAAACATTGCTTTCGTGTTGAGTTTTTTGAAGTTTGAAATGACCTGTTGGTCCATGGGCTAGAGGAGAGTTGTGGTGTTAGGAGGCAAGAACTTCACTGTTATAAAACTAAAGTCCCTAAACAATTGATCTTCCAGGAGCAGGAGCATTGTCCAGTATCAGGAGGCACTTGAGTGGCAAGTTATTTTCCAGGAGGTATTTTTTCACACTCGGGCCAAACACTTCATGGACCCAATCAAGGAAAATTTGCCTCATGACCCATGCCTAATTATTAGCTTTCCACATCATACACAATTTACTCTTGACAACATTGAAAATCCCAGAGTGTTCAAGAAAAACAGTGATACACGAGTAAAGACTTCACTTTTGACATCCCCACTAGCGTTACCACAGAACAAAAGAGTTAGCCTATCCTTCATAGGCTTGTGTCCTTGCAGTGCCTTTTCCTCCTGCGTGACGTAGATCCTCTCTGGCATTTTCTTCCAAAAGAGCCTTATTTCGTCACAAATGAACACTTGTTGGGGGACGAATCCTTCAGAAATAACAAAAAAAGGCACAATACCGTGACTGGAACGATACACAAATAACCCGCACATAGAAGAGAGGAGCTTACGACAATGTTTTGGTCCGACTTGGACCATTTACAAAGTCACACTAGCGAAAAGGAGAGAGGGAGGGGTATATATAGGTTGGCGGCGGTGGCAACAGCAGCAGCAGCCAGTCAAATACCAAGAGGAGCACTGCAAGCAAGAGGGTAAGAGCAAGAACACAAAGGGGGTAAAAAAGAAGGAACAAATACACAAGGCAGAAGGGGTAAGTGGAAGAGAATTCTTCCTCCGTAAGCCATGCGTGTTGTAAGGGGCGACTACAATGCCGGGAGCAAGGGGTTAGTAACCCCTTCTCCTGTATATATTACTAAATGTAAAAGGAGAAACTTCCGTTTTTCCTTTTCGACCACCCCGCCTCGGTGGGATATGGCTGGTGTGTTGAAAGAATATAAATATATATATATATAATATATATATATATATATATATATATATATATATAACACACACACACACACACACACACACACACAGTGGACCCCCGCATAACGTTGGCATCGCATAGTGTTAAATCCGCATAGCGATACATTTTATCGCTAAAATTTTGCCTCGCATAGTGCTAAAAAATTCGCTCAACGCGATTCGTCCAAGACACATCCATGCGGCCTGAGCCAGCCTCACTTGTTCTGCCAGTGGCATTGTTTACAAGCCAGCCACCGTGGTAACATTCAAGTATACAATCGGAACATTTCGTATTATTACAGCCTTTTTATAGTGATTTCACCTGAAAAATAAGTGACCATGGGCCCCAAGAAAGCTTCTAGTGCCAACCCTACAGGAATAAGGGTGAGAATTACTATGGAGATGAAGAAAGAGATCATTGCTAAGTATGAAAGTGGAGTGCGTGTCTCTGAGCTGGCCAGGTTGTATAGTAAACCCCAATCAACCATCGCTTCTATTGTGTCCAAGAGAACGGCAATCAAGGAAGCTGTTCTTGCCAAAGGTTTAACTGTGCTTTCGAAACAGAGATTGCAAGTGATAGAAGATGTTGAGAGAGTGTTATTGGTGTGGATAAACGAAAAACAGATAGCAGGCGATAGCATCTCTCAAGCGATCATAAGTGAAAAGGCTAGGAAGTTGCACGAGGATTTAATTAGAAAAATGCCTGCAACTAGTGGTGATGCGAGTGAATTTAAGGCCAGCAAAGGTTGGTTTGAGAGATTTAAGAGGTGTAGTGGCATACATAGTGTGATAAGGCATGGTGAGGCTGCCAGTTCGGACCAAAAAGCAGCTGAAAAATATGTGCATGAATTCAAGGAGTACATAGACAGTGAAGGACTGAAACCTGAACAAGTGTTTAATTGTGACGATACAGGCCTGTTTTGGAAGAAAATGCCAAGCAAGACCTACATTACTCAGGAGGAAAAGGCACTCCCAGGACATAAGCCTATGAAAGACAGGCTTACTCTTCTCATGTGTGCCAATGCTAGTGGTGATTGCAAAGTGAAGCCTTTATTAGTGTATCATTCTGAAACTCCCAGAGCATTCAGGCAAAAGAATATCCTCAAGGCTAATTTGTGTGTGCTGTGGAGGGCAAACAATAAGGCATGGGTCACAAGGGACTTTTTCTATGACTGGTTACAAGAAGCATTTGCCCCCACTGTGAAAAATTACCTAACTGAAAAGAAATTAGACCTTAAGTGCCTCCTGGTGTTAGACAATGCCCCTGGTCATCCTACAGACTTGGCAGAGCGACTTTGTGGGGACATGAGTTTCATTAAGGTGAAGTTTTTGCCTCCTAATACCACTCCTCTCCTGCAGCCCATGGACCAGCAGGTTATTGCAAACTTCAAAAAACTGTACACAAAAGCTCTGTTTGAAAGGTGCTTTGTAGCGACCTCAGAAACTCAATTGACTCTAAGAGCATTTTGGAGAGAGCACTTTAATATCCTCAATTGTGTAAACTTTATAGGTAAGGCTTGAGAGGGAGTGACTAAGAGGACCTTGAACTCTGCTTGGAAGAAACTGGCCAGAATGTGTAGACCAAAGGGATTCTGAAGGATTTGAGGCTAACCCTGAGAATCCTATGTCAGTTGAGGAATTAATTGTGGCATTGGGGAAGTCCTTGGGGTTGGAGGTTAGTGGGGAGGATGTGGAAGAGTTGGTGGAGGAGGACAATGAAGAACTAACCACTGATGAGCTGCTAGATCAACTTCAACAGCAAGAGGCCACACCTGAGGAAATTGCTTCGGAGGAGGGGAGAGAGAAATTGAAGAAGTTGCCTACTTCAAAGATTAAGGAAATCTGTGCAAAGTGGCTTAAAGTGCAAACCTTCATGGATAAAAATCACCCTCAGACAGCTATTGCAAGCCGTGCTGGTGACTATTACACTGACACTGTTGTGAAACACTTTAGGAAAGTCATAAAGGAACGAGAGGTACAGGCCACTATGGACAGATATGTTGTGCGACAGAAGTCCAGTGACTATGAAGCTGGTCCTAGTGACATTAAAAGAAGAAGGGAAGCAACCCCGGAAAAGGACTTGACACCTCAAGTCCTAATGGAAGGGGATTCCCCTTCTAAACACTAAAACCATCCAGTCTCCCCTCCTCCCATCCCATCAATCATCACCACATCTTCAAAAAAGGTAAGTGTCATGTAACTGTGCATGTTTTCTTAAGTTTGTGTGTATTAAAATTAATATTTCATGTGGTAATTTTTTTTTTTTCATACTTTTGGGTGTCTTGCACGGATTAATTTGATTTCCATTATTTCTTATGGGGAAAATTAATTCGTATAACGATAATTTCGCATAACATTGAGCTCTCAGGAATGGATTAACCCTTTGAGGGTCGACAGGCCCTCTCCGAGACTCGTTCTCAGGGTCGGCCAAATTTAAAAAAAAAAAAAAAAAAAAAA